TCTGACTGTAAACTGGAAAAGGCAAACAAAAATGGACAAACAATGTAGATAAATACAGGGTATAACCTATAACTATAATTTAAAATAAAATATAATATACCTTGTCCATAAATTGTTAATTTAGTTTTATATACCTACTAACATGTTTCCGTAGGTGTGTACGTTTTGAAATACATAGAAATAGTTATTGCGAGTGTACCTTTGGAGTTAGGAGATAAACACATGATATCATGAACATTTATATATGTCCTTTTAAGACTTACAATTTTCTAGTACATTGTTTTGATGTACATAATATCTTCCCAACACAAGTATCCTCGGATTACTTACTGGGAAGACTCGAACACAAAATGTAAAGATGATTAAGAAATAAAAACTACTTAAACTACTTTTAAGGTTTAGCGCATGGACTCCAAAAATATCTACATATTCCATTACTTCTTACTTTTTAATGGCTTGAATTTTATATTAACATCTTATCCCTCAAATATAAAAGTATAACTTACCTTTATTAAATTTTCGCTTAAGTATAGTAATATTATTGAATTTAAACATAAAATATTTAAGATTAATTCAAAGATAAACCCTGTTCCTTCCTCTTACACCACGCGCCACACACACGAGCTCGCTCGAGCCCGAGGCCCCACAATTAGATTGTAACCGAATTCCCCGAGGCCCGGCGCCTGGACATCAGACGGCATCATACACGCCTGCTACTGCAGTTACCTTCAAAATATTCAATTAAAACATTTCCAACCACATTTAATTTAATGGATTTCATACTAATTTCATAGTTTTGTTCTATTTGTGGAAAGAGTTCTGTTAGCATGTCCACGTTTTAGATATATGAGAAATATATCTACATTTTATGGAGTCTAGATTAATAGAATAAGACTTAAACTTATGATATAGATTCCATAGCCATATTCCATAATAAAGAAACATGAATGAGTACTCATTTTCCAACAATAAAATAAATATTTCACAATTAGTCGTACGTGCAAATAAAAATTCTATGAACTGTAATTTTTTTCAAAAACATTGTATTTTAAAAGTGTTTAATTTTTTTTTCTAGCGGCTTCAAAGAAGTGACAAATACCCCTTCACAAACAATATATATCTATATATATATATATATTGGGATTATATATATATATATATATATATATAATCCCATAAGCCTATGGCTAAATTTAATTAAAAAATCGGTAAAATAATTTCATATACCCTACAAAACCACCTGCATAAGTAATGCTGAAAGCTCAACACCTACGTATATTCGCAATACGCCAAACATTTGTTTGTGAATAATTCGCGTAGTCGAGGATTCTATTTGAAATTATTGGAAACCACTTTGCAACTTGCTCCTTTGAACTGTTGTTCGAATGACGGCATTCGACGTGGGATTAACCACGACCAAGGGAACATCTCAGTACAGAGCTTGTACATGACAAGTGTCCTTAAAATTAGCGACATAAAGGCGAAAATCCTTCAAACTTTTGTTACATGCACACTTGTATACGCATATTGGGAAGATTACATTAATTCAAGAACATGTTCCTGATGTGGTCGATATTTGTGTTGGTACTTAAATTTAAAGTGTGTCAGAAATTTTCACTACGGCCTTATTCTGATATATTTCTATTATATATAAATAAAAAACTTGCTTTAGTCTCGCTAAGTTTCAGTACGTTAGTAGTTAAGTCAGTACGTCTCAGAATCGAGGCTTAATATTTTTGTACCAGTGGAAGAAAAATTTCATTAATTCAGTCATTCATTCAAGTACGTGTTTTCTTCGTTAAAATTATTTATACTTACATATAATAAAATTCTGAGTCGAATCTGTACATTAAATTTTTTTTTGGAAAATCTTATTGAAATAGTCATTATTATCGATATGAAGAGGCCGAATCTATAGTTTTTAGATTTTTTTGTTTGTCTGTCTGTCTGAGAATGCATTACGAGAAAACCACTGGACAGATTTTGATGTAATTTGGTATGAATAGCTGGTTATCCGGATTAACATATAGGTACGATACTATTTACTGCAGGAAAATGTCTTATCTCTGAGAAACCTACACGACTACCGATAAAAAGTAACAAGGAACGAACACGAGCGAAGCGAGGGTGAGTCGCTAGTTATTAATATAGTTATTTGTACAATTTATAATTAAACAATTAGAATATATTATCTTTCTCAGATAGACGTCCTTTAAAATTGTTTCCGGGCAACTAAATTGTTTTACTCATCTATTACTTGGTACTATATATTCCAAAAAATAAAAATTGTTCCCATGGAATAGAGAAAAGTAGTTTTATGTGTTCTTACCGGTGTAGTGAGAGCTGAATTAAAATGAGGCATTAGTTAATTAATAAAAACGTACAGCGAAATTTCCTAGGGAATTAAGTACCATGTAGATATTTTTACAGCCAACATTAATTTTTTAATTTACTTAGAAAAATAATATATTAAAATCTTCATTTTGACTTCAAAATTAGCCTCCAAACAGGTACATATTCAACGAATCAACACATGACGTGTAGAGTGCTCTCAATCGACTTTCTGCCGAATGTCGCACCTTCCATTGTTTTTAAAGCTCACTTTGTTATTTTGTTAAAGCTTCCTTTGTTTGTTCGAAGTATAAAATATTATTAGCATTCATTTAAATTATTCTTAAATGTAAACAATTAATTTGTGAAATTTTATATTATATAAAATAATAAATATGCCACTTAATTGTGCTATTTATATCGACACCTCGAAATAGAGTATTGTTAAAACAAAAAATAACTTCTTATATACTATACATACTCGTACATATTTAAAGTAGAAATTCCAAGTTGATGTATTCAGCCCTTTTTATCGTCCCACTGCTGGGCACGGGCCTCCATTCAATACGAGGGGTATCAGGCCATAGTCCACCACGCTGGCCAAGTGCGGGTTGGCGGACTTCACATGTCTGTAGAAAACTTGCTAGGTTCTCTCAGACATGCAGGTTTCCTCACGATGTTTTTCCTTCACCGTAAGGCAAGTGGTAATCATGTTAGAAATGATTCGCACATGAAAATAACAGAGGTGCGAGACCCGGGATTTGAACCCGCTTCACTCGGTTTCCCAAGCAAGCGCGTTACCACTGAGCTACTACTGCCTTTTTGAACTTTGAACTTTCGATGTCAATTTTATGAAAAAAAATTTTTTATCGAAAAAAACTTCCTTCTTTTTGATGTCGGTTAAAATAGCAAGTACAACATACAAGACACAGTTAACTCTGCACTGATCACAATTTAATTTGTCCCCGTCGCCTCATACGCAATAGAGTTATCCCCAATTTGGCGTGTCTGGTCAAACCTACGAGTAAATGTCAATAAGCGAATTTTTCACGCACGCTTAGCTAATATTATGAAATTTGGCCATGTCACAACATATCATATCAAAAAATCTGCTAAATCTACAAAAATGTGTCTATTGCGTGCAAAACATTGGTTGTCGTTTTTTTATATAAATCCATTAAATAACCAGCGAATGTTTGTATGTTGGTGTGTCATAGCCTGAAGGACCGCCAGCTTGTTTTGGTTGTAACTTAGTACACGGATAGATTGTGACCTGGAATAATACATAGGCTACTGTTAGTTATTAAATTTGCCAAAAAGGTAGCAATTCAATATGTACAATTTACTGACAACACGCTAAGATCAGTGGCCAGCGGTCACGGGTTTGAGTCCTGCTGGTGGCATTTATGTTTTATAATATGTAAGTATTTAAAGTTATATATATATATATATATATATATATATATATATATATATATATATAATATATATATATATATATATATATAATGTATTAACCATCTGGTATATAAAAAGCCTCGCAGCATACTACAAAGCTAGATGATACTGTGTGTTAATGTCCCAACATATTTATTATTATTATTTATTATATAAATAGGAGTCGATATTTTTCTATGAAGTAGTAATCCATATCAAATCAAGAGCATGCTAGTTATATGATAAATTTTAATATACTCTCTTTAATTACATTATTAGTATACTTATTAAACGTATTTCCCAATACCAAAATTCGGTAATTTTAGACCACCTACATTTTTCAGCTTCAATTGGCTCAGAATGAATGATCGAAATAGAGCCGATGCAAGCAATAAATTCATCAGTGTCAGTTCTATCGAAGCCGTTCTGGCCCGAGCCAGCGCTCCTGTAGTATTTAATTGCTTCATTGCTAATACCAAAATGAGAAAACTATTGCTATATAGTCTATATATATTCGCTTTTGCATGTGATTTACTTATTGTTTATTGTAGGGAACTCTCGTTTTAACTAATACTCTACCAATTTAAGTTAAACTAAGCAATCATAATATTTACAGTGTTTTCTTTTAAATCAAACTAACTTTCCGGAATTTTTCTGTTCTGTTACAACTAGTTAGTGACCTTTGAGACGTCTATAACCTAAGTCTCTTCCGTGACCATGATTGCTGTAAAGCATTCGAATCGTCGGGAACCAAAAATCATATTTTCATGTAATCCAACCAAACGATCAGTTCATTTCTCTGTAACAATAACATCCTTCAACTACGCCTATTTTAAAAACATTGATTTAAAGTATCTCTTCGTGATAATATTTATTATATATGACGGCGCGCATTATTTTAATTCTACTTATTGTTTCTTTTTATTTTTTTATTGCTTTCAATGTATAGAATATAATTTGGTTAGTTTATTAATTTTCTTTAAAAATGTATTTTGGAGCGGTAACACCGGATGGAGTTGTAAGTGACGTCGAGATAGGAAATCCGTTGTGAAGGATTCTGTTTGACAACCGAGACGTGGCGTACGCTTACAAAACCATCAACTCTGAAATCCATTTATTTCTTTGTAATCACTTGATATTTTAATAATATTGATACTGTTTGGATTAAACTAATTATAATAGAACATTTTGTTAAAGTCATTTTATCAATTCGTAATTGTATAACGCCCACAATGGATGAACTCAATGATGAGATTCTAAATGATTCGCCTACTCCACTCGCCATCCCGAGTTCAGAAGTGGGATTACCCGGAACATCAGAGAAAGATACAGGTCAGAATATTGATAATATTGGTGATAATGAGAGCGATCGTTGGAAAATTTTATTTGACATGCAACAACGTCAAATATTAGAATTAGTTCGTGCTATAAAAGAACCAAACTCTAATCATTTTAAGATAGTGTTTCCTGAATATAACTCAGACTTGCGAGATAGCAACGCACGCGCTTGGTGTAATACTGTCGATCTATGTATGCAAGAAAATCCATTATCGGGTAGTGATCTAATAATAACAATGGCTAAGGCTCTTAAAGGCTCTGCAGCTTCATGGTTAACTCAGAATAGTTTTGCTGGAATTACTTGGCCTCAGTTTAAGGACCTGTTTTTAGCACGGTTTGATTCCATAGAGACTCCAGCTGCAAATTTGTATAAACTTTTTAATGAAACCCCAAGGGACGGTGAATGTATGTCATCATATGCTTCTCGTTTTCTCAGTACTCTGATAACTCAGTGGAACTCTTTGACTACGGAACAAATAGCAATTGCGGTAACTCTAGCGCATGCCTCTAGAATTGAGCCGCGGCTACAGCGATTAGCTTTTACTACCGAGATTAATACTCGACTCAAACTGCAACAAGAGTTGATGGCTTTAACTTATCGCAAAAGAAGTATACAAGATAGAAACATTTTGTTTGAGGACCAAAAAAGGCCACGTGTAGAAAACAGAAGATGTTACATTTGTGGCAAGATAGGCCACGTGCTTGTAGATTGTCCCATCAGAAATAAGCGAGACAACTATGCTAATACTCGTTCTGAGTTTTCAGGTCCCAAAACACTACCACAAACAATAGGTTCGGGAACGACGAAGAATCCACCTATCTGTTACCACTGCAATGAAACGGGTCACATTGCAACGCAATGCGTGAAGAAGCAAGCTGTTAAAAACGAAGGGCATCTGGAGCGTCGAGTAAATATTTGTACCATTAAGCCAGCTTTTGATTGTCTTCTAACTGAAACGGGTGAGGAGTTCTCATTTTGTTTTGATTCTGGTGCTGAATGCTCTTTGTTAAATGAAAGTGTAGCTAATAGATTTCCTGGCAAAAGACAAAACAATAGAATTACATTAGTAGGTATTGGCAATTCGAGTATTGATTGTAGTATGCAAATATTAGCGACTGTAGTGATACAGGGTTATGCAATGCAGTTGTTGTTTTACATTGTGCCTGATTATTGTATGACAAACAGTATTATAATCGGTAGGGACTTGCTTTCACTAGGATTTTCAGTTGAAGTATGTGACAGTCAAATTATTCTAAAGAAAATAAAAGTAGTTTTAGTCTGTGACATAGATACGAGAATAAGTAATTTTAATGATATTGATACTGATTTACCATCAGGGGACAGACAAGCGTTAATTTCAATACTTGAAAAATATTCTAATCATTTCGTAGTAGGTACACCTACGGGCCGTGTCAGTTCTGGGCAGTTAGTAATAAGGCTGATAGATCCTTACCGTACAGTTCAACGGCGACCATATAGACTCAGTCCTGAGGAGCGTCAAGTAGTTCGGAACAAAATTAAGGAACTGCTGGAGGCAGGTATTATCCGTGAGAGTTCTTCTCCGTTTTCAAGTCCTATTTTAATGGTAAAAAAAAAAGATGGGACTGATCGTTTATGTGTAGATTATAGAGAGTTAAATAGTAATACGGTACCTGATCGTTACCCACTGCCGTTGATTTCTGACCAAATCCAACGACTCGTGGGAGCTCATTATTTTACTACACTTGATATGGCAAGTGGATATCATCAGATTCCTGTTCAGGAGGACTCAATAGAACGTACCGCTTTTGTTACACCTGATGGACAATTCGAATATCTTTCTATGCCTTTTGGTCTCCGTAATGCGCCTTCAGTTTATCAGCGAGCTATAAATAAGGCCCTAGGATCTTTAACAGAATCATTTGCGATCACATATATTGATGATGTTATTATTCCGGCTCGAACTATGGAAGAGGCCCATGATAGATTACAGAAAGTTCTAAAAGCATTAACAGAAAATGGATTCTCATTAAATCTAAAGAAGTGTTCCTTTTTGAAAACTAAAGTTGAATTTTTGGGGTATGAAGTATCTGCTGGTGAATTACGACCAAACCCACGTAAAATAAATGCTTTAGTTCAGCTTCCACCACCCCAAACTGTTACTCAACTTCGACAATTTATTGGTCTAGCGTCATATTTCAGACAATTTGTGCCTGGATTTTCTCAAAAGGCAGCGCCTTTGTACAGATTGACAGCAGGTAAAGGTAAAATTAACTGGACACCCACTTTTGAAAAAATTAGGAAAGATATCATTGAAATATTGACAGGTGAACCAGTTTTAACCATTTTTGACCCTGATAAACCAATCGAGCTGCATACAGATGCTAGCGCTGATGGATATGGCGCGATTTTGATTCAGAAAGTTGATAGCAAACCGCGTGTAGTTGAATATTACAGTCGTCGTACCAATTCCGCTGAATCTAGGTATCATTCATACGAGCTAGAAACTCTCGCAGTGGTTAACGCAATTAAACACATTCGACATTATTTGTATGGTAGAAAATTCACTGTGGTAACAGATTGCAATGCGGTAAAAGCATCAAAATCCAAAATAGATCTTACTCCACGGGTTCACAGATGGTGGTGCTACTTACAAACATTCGAATTTGATATTGAGTATAGACAGGGAAAGCACATGGGACATGTGGATTTTTTATCTAGAAATCCATTGCCAGCTCTATTACAATCAGTGACCAGACCGGTACAAAAGCGAGTAAATTTAACAGAAATTTCTAACAATTGGTTGATTGCGGAGCAACAAAAAGACGATGAACTAAAATCATTGATAACTAAACTTCAGGCAAATGATCTTGACAGTGAAATTGCTAAAACGTACGAAATGAGACGTGGTGTTTTGCATAGGAAAATACAACGTAACAGTAGAAGTGTATGGTTACCAATTATACCAAGAGCATTTCAATGGGCTATTATTAATCATGTTCACGAAAGTATTATGCACCTAGGATGGGAGAAGACATTGGAAAAGACATATTGTCATTATTGGTTTCCTCAAATGAATAAGTATGTGAAAAAATTCGTAGATAATTGTATCACCTGCAAGCTGTCAAAGTCACATTCTGGAAAAGTTCAGGCTGAGCTGCACCCAATACCTAAAATAACTATCCCATGGCATACAATCCATATGGATGCAACTGGAAAACTTAGTGGCAAAAGTGATAACAAAGAGTACGTGTTCGTTACCATAGATGCTTTTACTAAATATGTTTTGTTACATCATGCCGTAAATATAGACTGTAACAGTGCCATTAGAGCTATACAGTTTAGTGTTTCACTATTTGGCGCCCCAACGCGCGTAATAGCGGACCAAGGTCGATGCTTTGCCGGTAAGGACTTTAGAGAATTTTGTGAGTCTCACAATATAAACTTGCACTTAATTGCTACGGGTACAAGTCGTGGAAACGGTCAGGTTGAGCGCACTATGTCAACATTAAAGAACATGTTAACAGCTGTTGAATCAGGTGAACATAAATCTTGGCAAGCTGCCCTACCAGATGTTCAATTAGCCATTAATTCTACAGTAAATCGCACTACTAAAGCAAGTCCCCTTGAACTTTTAATAGGAAAAGTAGCAAGATCTCTACAGCTAATGACTTTAGACACAGATGAAATTGATGTTGACTTAGACGCAGTTAGGAATCGAGCAACACAGTCAATAGTGACCAGCGCGTTAACTGAGAAAGCAAGGTTTGACCAAAATAAAGCTAAGGTAAAAAAATTTTGTGTAGGTGACTATGTTCTGTTAAATAATCATGAACGAAATCAGACAAAATTAGAACCAAAGTATAAAGGTCCTTTTTTGATTTCTGAGGTGCTTGATGGTGATCGATATCTCTTAAAAGCAATGCATTGTAATCGAATATATAAGTACGCGCATGATCGGTTACGCGCCATGCCAGAATGTTACGTTCCACCAGAATTAAACTGTGGCCTAGAAATCTCCACTGATGTAGAGTCAGGGGTGGTCAATGACGGCGCTAGTGAATACTCTAATTTATAGAAAAGTATCTTTATAAGTGTGTTTAAGGGATTGATTTTTTTTAGTGTCGAACAGTAGTAACTTGTATGGTGTTTGTAGCCTGAGTGGCGAGAATTGCCTGTGTGGCAAATGTAGCCTGAGTGGCGAGAGTAGCCTATGTAGTATAGCCTATGTGGCTTAGTGAAGCTGATAAAGTAGCCTATGTGGTGAGACGAAGTAGTGTACTTTAGTGAGATCTATATGTTTGGTAATACATGATTATTATTATTTTAATAGAAAGTAACATATGTGATTGCTTTGTGCGTTCTTAAAAAATATGCTTAAGTTATATGAGATAAAATTACCTTACTATGGAATATTAAGTTTGTTTGAAATTAAGCTCCAGTTGTTGTTTATGGAGGGGTCAGTATGACCGAGCTAGTAACGAGTACAACTTTGTTTTTGTTTGCTTCCAGAAGATAACCAGGAGACACACGAGGGCGTGTGATAGCAGGACGGCCGTGACGGCGCGCATTATTTTAATTCTACTTATTGTTTCTTTTTATTTTTTATTGCTTTCAATGTATAGAATATAATTTGGTTAGTTTATTAATTTTCTTTAAAAATGTATTTTGGAGCGGTAACACCGGATGGAGTTGTAAGTGACGTCGAGATAGGAAATCCGTTGTGAAGGATTCTGTTTGACAACCGAGACGTGGCGTACGCTTACAAAACCATCAACTCTGAAATCCATTTATTTCTTTGTAATCACTTGATATTTTAATAATATTGATACTGTTTGGATTAAACTAATTATAATAGAACATTTTGTTAAAGTCATTTTATCAATTCGTAATTGTATAACGCCCACAATGGATGAACTCAATGATGAGATTCTAAATGATTCGCCTACTCCACTCGCCATCCCGAGTTATATATATATATATATATATATATATATATATATATATATATATATATATATATATATATATATATATATATATATACTATAATATCATAAAGCCTACACGATTTTGATATTTGAATGCAATTTACTGGCCTACAGAGATATCACATGACAGAGGCACGAGAACATGCATTAATAACGTACATGTTTCATACATACTCGTACATATATACTGTGTAGTGCATCGATCGCTGGATGCGTCGTTATAGGGCGGAGTAGACATGAAGACAATGCTAAAAAACTATAATTAAAATATGATTAGATGATAAAAAATCTGTTACATTAATAATATAATAAGAAAAATTGTCAGTGAGTGTGTATGTTTGGTCATATAATGGCTAAATGAAACAGATAAATTTGGAATGAAGACAGCTTTTACCCTTTATATACTTAGGCTACTTTTTCGTGATGAAACACATGAGTGAAACCGCGAGATTTTTTGATATATCTGGTTTTTAACCACGATCTCACCAGCGTTATAGCTTGATAATTATAGTCTATGTGTTATACAATAACATGGATTAAGCTATCTCCATATCACTCTAGGATCTCCATATCTGGGTCACCTAAAATTTCACTGAAATGGGTTGTTATATTAGAGCCTCCTAATATAGTGATATATTTATTTATTCACATTTTAAATATCCATATGGATAAATAAAATTGACGTGTTTCTTTGTAACGTCAAAATAGTAGCTTTTTACTTTTAAAGGCATACGGTACTTATAAGAAGAACACATTTATTTAATTTTTTGTCTGCCTTTCTGTTTGTTCCGGTTAATCTCCGAAACGGTTGGACTAATTTTGACGGGACTTTCATTGACAGATAGTTGATTTTATAAGGAATAATTGAGGCTACTTTTATTTTAAAAAAGAATTAGGGTTCGCTTAAAATATTAAAACGTACTCGTACCTAGCTAAGGACGCACTCGAGCGAAGCGAGGTTAAGCCGCTAGTTTAACTAATAAATATATTGGTACGGTTATTCAAAATTTTCTGTCGATCAAATATATTAATTAATATGCATTTCAACAGTGACAGTAGATATCAAAGCCACTGTATTAAGTCTACGCCGTTTAATTTAAACACGTAGCCATAACGCATTTGAGAAATTTTAATCGAATGTACGATAAATGTGAAAAATGAATATCTGTCGGTCTAAAATATACAGGTAATAGTTCAATCAGTGCTCGCGTTGTTTTATTGCAATGTTTCGGTTTGTAATAGATCAATGTTTTGATTGTAGTTTTTGTTGGTTAGATGCAGAGTGCAGATGTATTGGTTCATACATACGAGTACACGTCTGGAACTAGAGTGTCTGTGATCTCAAAACAAAATGCTATATTCGATATCTACCGTATGCCTTTTATATATCTATTTCTTTTAGCTTAATTTTTATTTTATTAAGCATCTACGATATTTATGAGTTACATATACAAATCCATACTAATATTATAAATGTGAAAGTGTGATTGTTTGTTTGTCTGTCTGTCCTCCTTTCACGTCATAACAGAGTGACGGATTTGCCTGACTTTTTGTGTGGAGATTGTTGGAGATGGTTTACCGCGGGACATTCTCACGGGAATGTAATAATATAAAGCAAAAAAAAATGATTGGAATTACTTGAAACTTAGTATTAATGCTCTTCAATACAATTAAATGAATAAGCGTTTTAGAATTTTTCAAAATTCATGCCATAAGGGGGTAATAGGGGATGAGAGTTTGTATGAAACCTTCTTGGAGTTTTTGTACAGTTTTAGCGCGAGCGAAGTGTGGGTTCTGCTAGTTAAATATAAGTAATAGTAATTGTAAATATATTTTTATTTTTGATGAAAACACAAAATGTTCAAAAATAAAGCACATTATTAATTTTTTAATTAATGAGTAATTTTTTTTTTTAATTAATTAGTAAATGATATAGTTTGTACGTGTGAGTGTAGTGAGAGTGCGATAGAACGTAGCCGGATTGATTTGGATGAAAATGCTTAGTAAGCTATTCTTAGTAATAAAATTTACCAATAGTTGGCGCTACTTGTACTTATATAATATCTAATTTTATAAATATAAAATGCACCTAGTGATGGATATAATTAAGAATATTATGCAAGAAGTTGTAAATTAAGTGACTTTTAAGTAAGTATCTAACCTGATCAAGTGTTCAAAGAGTAAATAGCTTCAATGTAGAATAGTTGGTGACAGCGACATCAAAGAGCGGTCGGTGAAGCAATTTCTAGATATAATTCGGTTTGCGCTACAGCCTGTAGCTGCCTTGCGATGTTTAACTTTGTTATATGGACCGTAATTACTTTTTATATGAACACTTGTCACATGCCCTCACTTCTTCTGAAAAAAATTGTCTTTTTCAATCACCGCCCTGTTAACTGTACTGTCTATATAAATAACTAGCATTGCCCGCGGCTCCGCCCGCGTTAATATGACCAAAACCAAATTCTTAAGTTTTATATATTAGAATACTCGTATTAGTATATTAGTTGACTCGGATAACCAGCTATTACCATACCAAATTCAAAATCCCTCCAGTGATTTTTATGTGATGCGGTCACAGACAGACAGACACACAAAAATTCTTAAAACTATATGTTCGGCCTCTTTTAGAGATAATAATGTGTATTTCAAGAAGATTTTCTAAAATCTATTTAATGTACAGATTTGATTTAGTTAGAATTTTATTATATGTATAGATTACAGCTTAAAAGAATTATAATTTTGACAACCTATAATGTATTTGTCAAAACAAAGGCTATTTAACCATTAAAGTATTCCACTATACTCCTCCTGAGAAGCCGCACACTGTGTTTACTACTTGCGTTTTGTATATAAGTTGTTTCGAAATCACCGCCATACATTTAAGTTTTATTTATCAATAAAAAGTTTAGAGGCATATAAAAGTATATTATTATTTGTTTTTGGGCTTCATAATAATAATAATTAAGCACAAATAAAATGTTTGGACACTAACACAGAGCGCCATCTAGTTCCATGGTAAGCTACGAGGCTTGTGTTATGTATACCAGCAGGGACCGTAAAACCCGGGTTTAGAGTTAAGCCAAAAAAACGGTTACCCATTCAAAATGAACGTAGAAAAACCTTGTTACCCATTAAATGTGTAACCTACCTTTAAGCAAATGAAATGTGTTAATCATTTGTAATGATAGCCCTACTATAGAATTAACCCTATCGAAAGGGTTACCACATCGTTTTATGTGATTACCCCGAAACTTACTTTTTAACTGGTGATGAAGAAAGGGTGGGGGAATATACCTATTTGTTTCTAAATTCGTGTAGCACTGCAAAACAATGTTAATTTAAAGTTTCATACTCCTACCTGTGCACGTTTACTTATTAAAATATATAATGAACCGTCACGAACGTAAGTAGTGTGTGTGACATGTGTCATGTGTCATGTTTATCATGTGTGTGTGTCATGTGTGTGTTATGTGTGTCATGTGTGTGTGTCATGTGTGTGTTATGTGTGTCATGTGTGTGTCATGTGTGTCATGTGAGTGAGTCATGTGTGTGTCATGTGTGTGTGTCGTGTGTGTGTGTGTGCGTGTGTCGTGAGTGTCATGTGTGTCATGTGTGCCATGTGTGTCATGTGTGTGTCATGCGTGTGTGTGTGTGTCATGTTTGTGTGTCACGTGTGTGTGTGTGTGTCATGTGTGTGTTATGTGTGTCATGTGTGTCGTGTGTGTGTGTCTGTGTCTGTGTGTGTCTGTGTTTGTGTGTGTCTGTGTGTGTCTGTGTCTGTGTGTGTCTGTGTCTGTGTGCGTGTGTGTGTGAGTGCGCGCGTGTGCGGGTGTGCGTGTGTGCGTGTGTGTGCGTGTGCATGCTTGCTTATGTGTGCGCATACGTGCGTGTAAAGTAAGAGTATTAAGAATGGGAGTCCAAGTTATCGTCATATAAATCGTCATTTGATCTTAAAAGCATTACATTTTGTAATAAATGACCGTCCATGTTACTTCTTAAAGAAGATAAAATAAATTTTAATGATGAAAATAAACGTTCAACAGACACTTGAGTCGCAGGTGCTGCTAAAACTGTATTAGCAACTGCATCTAATGTAGAAGAAACAGTTCCTTTATTTGCCCAATCTTTAATAATATTTTCAGTTGGGGCTAATCTTGGTGCAAATCTTAATTCTTTCAAAGTAATTTCAAAAGAAGAAGCTGTCTTTGCAGAGTGTGTGTCTGTGTGTGTCTGTCTTTCTTTTTCTGTTTGTTATAATATTCTTTCTATGTCTGTGGTAAATGTCTGTGAACTAGAGGTATTTTGATTTTTTTCAATTAAATGGGGATCCTTATAAAGTGTATTCTCATCAATTTGAGATTCTTTTATATGCTGTAGCTGTGTATAGGTCTCTTGGAGCAAAGATTGTGCTTTTGCACACTCTTCATCGGACAAAATGACGTTCAATCGTCTATCTAGATATATGTTTACTAAAACTAAATTAGTATTCAAAAGATTTTTTTCTCTTGCCTTAATAGATTTAAGCAAATCTTGAGCAAAAGGTATAGAAAAAATCTCCATACGAGATTTGCACGTCAACCTTTAATAAAAATATCGCCAATAGTGATTTGTTGTTTTTGTAAACTTAAAGTCGCTTCATTTATTGGTTTTAAACAACTAATAGTTAATGAAAGTTCATCCCAAAATTTTGTCGACAACAAATTAGCAATGTCGGAATTACTATCACATAACGATTTAAGAGCAAAGAGACGTTCCAACATTTTATAAGTAGATATCCAACGCGTTGTGAAATCAATGATGGGTTTTTTAAATTGGATACTCTGAGAATATTTTTTATGGTGGGTCTTCGTAAAATACGTACCACTTTTCTTGCCAATTCTATTATACTTTGTGTTTCAATGTTTACATTTATAGCGTCTCTTACTGCTAATTGCAGCGTATGCGCAGCACAAAGCATTACGCGAGACTTATATTTATATGGTGGTATGGTGCTATTATTAATATGGTCTAAAAAAGAATTAATATTCATAATATTTTCAAATTCATGTATTTCTTGTGTGCGTTCATTTTCTTCCTCTTTAGTTATATATAGTTCCGTGGACAACACCGAATGAGTATTCAATACATTTGATATTAATATTAATACAACAAGTATTGCTCTAACAATGAAGCCAAGTTTATTACAAAAACAACACAATGTACTATAATATAGTATAATAATATATTATTTGATCAAGCAATCAGAGCGCGCGACAACACATCGATAAATCGCAGCTATTTACATACTACTATAATGAGCGCGCCCGCTGCGGCGTGAGGGCTGTGCGGCTCACGAATTGGATGTTAACATTAAATTATCTTTTAAATAAAACTATCTTTTTGGATTATTTCGTGGATTTATTTTGATTTTTGGTTCCCAACGCTTGCACCAAAAATCTAAATAAATCCGCGAAATAATCCGAAAATTTAGTTTTATTTAAAATGTCAAAATATATTCGCGTAAATCTAAGAAAGTATTATTAAATTATCTTTCGGGATGTTTTTTTTTAAATAAAATGGTATGTACACTGATATTAAAGTTTATGAAACACAGTTTACTAGTTCAGTTAGGGTTGTGCGCATTTGTCTTTTTTTATAGTGATAGTGTTGGGTCTTAGTCGATTTCAGTCATGTTGACTATCGAGCATTTAGGGGTATAGTTGCTGTTGTTGAAAGCATATTTGTGCATGAAAAAGAAAGTAAAAAACACATCGTTATGTCTTTGTGTTTTCTTCATTATAAGAAGATTATTTAAGAATAAATTACAAATAAATTAGTATTCCCACGTAATATCTGTACTTAGTGCTTATTTTCAATACCCTCAATAGTTACAGTATTATTTACTTCAAGGAAGAAGGATTTTTTTGTATCTTTTTATATAAAAGTATGTTACACATGCATATTAAATGCACGATAATAATATATTCTAGTGCAAGTAGTTAGATCAAACCCAAATATATTTTTTGTTGGCAAATTTTGTACCGTGGTATATTTAAACCAATACATTCGGATGTACCGAGCGGACAGTAATCACGGAATGATAAATATTGTATAACGGTATTTGTTTTTCATATTTATTCAATGAATAAAAATATAAAATAATATCGTAGAATACGTACGAATAATATATAATATAGGTACTTTACTTGGCTTCTATCAATCATATTAACGAAAAAAATATTAAGAATTTAATTAGTTTTGTTTTTGAAGTAAAACTTCTTTGATCGCATGAGGGTAAAATTTCAAGGTCTCGTCACGAAAAATCGTCACAGTTGCCATAGTAACCGTTGTTATTCTCTGAAAAATGCTATTTATGATATTCTTCCCGTTGCTATCTTCAGAGATTACTTTTTTACTAAATTGTTTTCAAATATGCCTGTATATTTATAACTAGCGACTCACCCTCACTTTACTCGGGTGATGAACCCGAGAACCTTAGAGTATATACGATAGATGTAAGAATCCAGCTAAATAGAAAGAGATAAAATATTTTTCTCCCCTCTTTGCGTGATATTCGTTTGAATCACATTTTTGTCTAAGTGTAATATTAAAAGATGATTTAATTAATTTATTAATCTTACAGATTTGAAATATAAATAACCAATGAAGTTTCACTTCTAACAGGTTTCCATAGAAATTTAGTTTTTTTTTATCTAGTTTAAACTATAATATAAACTATTTAGTTTAGTTTCGACGAAGACATATTTAGCGATTATATCGCTATTTCAAATTATATAAATATTTATTTGGGAATGATAATATCATATCTATGGGTAAATTTACATGCTTAGAGTATGTTATTTCTATTTTTATGAGTTTTCTGTTTAAAATGTATGTTTTTAAGAAACCATTATATTTAAGGAAGGAAGATATTTTTTAAAATTTGGTATTCGAGTAATTATAAATGAGGTGCGAACAAAATCACTTTATATCGTTTTTAAGAAGTTAATCCATCCCCG